TTTATAAAAAAAATAAATCAATAAAAAACATTTTAAAAATATTTTAAACCTTTTTAATATTTGATACTTTATTGATTTATTTGGTATGGACGAGTAAAGTGATGAATGAACAACAAATGGACAGACAAATACATGAAAACATATTAGTGAAAGAATATGTTTTCACCTAAAATCCGACGAAAGAATGCGGAATGCGCTGAAATGTTATACACCAGAACCTAACGAAAGAATAGAGAAAGTATGCCAGAGTCTTTAATAGGTTATGTGAACATGATGGTTTGTCGAATGTGCGTATGCTTAAAGAACTTGTGTCTACATGAAGCAAAAGACAGAGAAAAGGAAGTAATAGAAAACAGAGTTTGTATGAATAATTTTAGTAATATATCTGTATTAAATAAGCGTATGTATTTTTAAGATACTAATAGTTCATTTGTAAAGTGTCATTGATACTAAAATTTAAAAATGCGTCAATCCTCAATGAACTCAATGAAAGAGCGCGTCAAAATTTGAAAAAATTTTACGAAAAAATGTACAGAAACTTAATGAAGGAATACACCGAACTTGACAAAAAGCCTATCAAAAATAATGAATTAGAAACTACGTAAACCCGAGAATATACTTGATAACCAACCAAAAACTAATAAAATAGAAATAACATAAACCCGAGAATATACTGTAACTTGACAGTAAACCAAAAACAATGAAATAGAAATTACATAAACCCGAGAATATATTATAACTTGACAGCCAATCAAAAACTAATGAATTAATGAAATAGAAACTACATAAACCCAAGAATCTACTGCAACTAACCAAAACGAATGAAATAGAAACTACATAAACCAGAGAATATATCATAACTTGACAGCCAATGAATTTAATGAATTAATGAAATAGAAACCAAATTAATGAAATAGAAATTACATAAACCGGTTGTAACTTGATAGCCAATCAAAAACTAATGAATTTAATTAATTAACGAGAATATACTGCAACTTGACAGCTTGTCGAAAACTAATGAAATAATGAAATAGAAACCCAAGAACATACTGTTACTCGGCCAAAAAATCGTATTATCAAACAAGCTTAAAGAACACTGTTTAGTAACGAAAAAAAACTTTGCATGCTCTACATGTGATCATGTGAGCGTGAAATTTTCGTGGCGATGCTGATGAAAATTCGTAGCATTTATTACGGTGAACTTAAATTTATGGGTAGCGTCAATGGCCACATATTCATATCTATTCAGATTCACGGAAGATTTAAAGATCAGTTATACAAAGTTTTAAGATATTTCAAATGAAAATCCTTTTAAGGTTACCGTAAATTACTGTGCAAGGTATCCGGGTATTTTATATTCACGTAACAACAAACATTGATTTATATCCCGGGTATATTGTATTGCAGGGGTATATTATGTGTGGGGAAATGATTTTATACCCGGTCTTTTACAAAATACCACAACAAATAGCCTTGAAACACTCGGTACAAATCAAGGGGGTATATAACAAGGGGTCCTTTGCACGGTAATTTATAGTATCGATTGAGAAAAATTGTCTAGGCAATACTGTCATAAAGCTTTATCGATCAAAAACAGAAATGTAATATTTAATATAATGTTAAGAGAAAACATCAAATAACTTTTAAGATGAATAGAAAATAATTATTACCTGCTATCATAAGTACAAATATGAGATTCATGGTTCTTCATTTATTGTAAGTTATAGCATTAAATCATCTTAGAAAAAAGATTATCGTTGATGTCTGTTATACGCACATTATTTTGACATCAACAACATGAACATTGTTTATGCGATCAACTTTTATTATTAAAATTTAATGATGGGCTTCGCAATATTGTACTATTACATGGGTATTGATCTATGATCTATTAGCGTCTTCTCCATTAGCGTCTTCTCCATTAGCGTCTTCTCCATTAGGTTCTTTTTCAGGTTCCATTTTAGATAATAAATATTCCACCACTTTCTCGTGATTATTTTGTTGTGCTTCATATATTGCTGTCCTTCCTGCTTTATTTTTGATCTATTTATTCATATAAGAATAAAAATCAATTGTTTTACTTGTTCCAAAAGGATTCAAAATTATATTTATCTACCTTTACATCAGCCCCGTTGGATATCAATAGTGTAACTATCTCGATATGACCATTTAATGAACTCCAATGTAATGACGTATTTCCCAATTCATTTTGTGCGTTAACAATATCACTCTCCAAAGTTTTTAATGTTTGTATTATATATTCTACAATTTCTATTAAGTATTTCATGTAAATAACTTATTAGGTAAGTATAAATAACGCTGTTAATGAGAAAGTAAAACACTTACTTGTATGTCCATTCGCACTTGCCATGTGTAATGCAGTGTTTCCAAAGGTGTCTCTTGACGCAAGGTACGCGATAGGATATGATTTCAATATGTTTTCCAACTCAGAAAGTTCGCCATACCTTGCACACGCTATAACTTCCTCGGTAATTTCCTCTGACAGGTGCAAGGACGACAACTGTTCACTTATGCTTTCCACAACGGGCATGATAATATATAAAATATATTAACAGTTAATGTTAATAATTTTGATATTGCCTGCAGATCAATAATTCTGGTAAAGTTATGTAATAATTTTGGTTACATCTCTGGATTTGGGATTTGGGTACATATATACGTACAATACACTCTTTTCTCTCCGAGTTTTTTTTTTATTTGTATCTTTGTGCATAAGTGGTCGCCATTCTCTGCAAATATACTACGGGTTAAAAAAAACGTCTAATGGCAGGTTTAAAAAGTAAATTTATACTTTCTATTCTCTTCGTTTTTTCTTTTTTTTTTTTTGCATTAATTTTTTTTTTATTATCTTGCATTAGCGTGAGTAAAGACTGAATTATAAAAATGTTTGAGCATGATGACTAAAGCATTCTTCAAAATTCTTTAACACTGGAATTTCTCAGTATCATTGCTCTGGCGTTTGTGTTAGCTTGTGGTTTCCTACTCGTCATTTTATCTGGAGCATTATATCAGTATGTGAACTTAAAATTGGTTTTTTGTACTTTGTCATGTGTTAGCTTGATTTTATTAATACCATGTTTTAACGTTTTAGAACCTGGTGGACATTGTTTGTCGGTATGTCCTTTTTATTCCTTTAACATGGCAATACATCGATGGTTTCTTAAGCTGCATTCAATCTTTATTATTTTAGTTGCAACTTATGTGCTAGCACCTGTACCAAATTGGATATTCTCAAAATGCTCAGCAAACGATGATTATTATTTATCAAGCAATTCTAAGTAACTGTCAATTTTCATTTAATGGATAATGAAACTAAAGTGTAAATTAACTTTAATTCTGAACTTATTCGTCTTACAACTTATTAGTAGCGGATATAAAGACTTTGGTCAATTTTTGACCTCCATCTTTATTGTCACCGGAGTTTGTATGTTACTTGTTTCATATATATATAGATATATATATATACCTTTCATATTCTGTAATGTGCACAAGTCTTACGCTTCAACTTACAGGTCTTCCGATCGTTCTTGCGCACGCATCAGTGGTAAGTTTACCTATTATATACCTATCATTTTATAACTTAATTAATCATTCATATTTTTTCGTAGATACCGGTTCCCGCCATGTTTATGAGTATCGGAGGTGGTGCCCTGGTGTATTCGACTAGTAATTCTTAAGTTTACTTATTAACTGTTTATTTTGTTTAATTTTGTTTCCTTAATTAATTTTTAATTTTACTCTTCTTAATAGTTATTGCCTATTCGACGTTTTTCGCTAATGAAGGCGAAGATTTTTAAGAGTTATTTGAAATACCAATTTCATTGATCAATTCTATCAGCCAATTTTACTAGATTCTTTTTGGTTATTCAAGTGAATTCCTTGGAAATTTTTCTTAAATGTATTATAGCAGAAGATCATACATTGTTTTTTTTGTATCTTTATTATGTATCAAGAATGACCGCAATAGGTATATGAATTATTTATTACACTATTCAAAGCCGATGTCCATAGAGACAATCTAAATTTTTTCGAATACGAAAGAATTGTTACTCATCAACATATAATTCATACAGTGTTGGGAAAAATGTACTAAATTTTACTATTATATAATTGGTATTGGGAAATAATTGGGAAATAAGTTTAACCTTAGCATATATATCAGTATATATATAAATGATAACTATATATTATTTTGTATGTGTAATAAAAAGCCATGGTTTTTAATTTGTGGTGTCAGAATGATACGGTGCTGGTGAAAAAAACAACAATTAATACCGTATTTTTTGTTAACTAGGCCACACGATGTAATCGAATCACTTTATAGTCACTTATAAATAAGCACAGAGAGATCTTCCTAAGTGCAATCTTCATAAGCGTGCTCTCTACGTGAAATCTCTAAGTGCACGGTATAGTCTGGTTCCAGCTTATAATAACACTATTTATATTATGCTTTTTATAAGTGCATACACTCTCTAAGTGCATATTCTTGAAATTTTTTACCATGGTTTCAAGAGGATGCACTTAAGAAGATCTTTGTATATGCAAAAAAAAAAAAATCTTTCTATATTTTAGCAATTTTAATTGGCTGGAGCTGAGGGAAGCGAAGTGAAAGCCTTTCAATTCATACACTACGAAATTGTTGAAACTGTCCGATTCCCAGTTCAACTGATCCAAATTTTGCATATCCAGAAATTGAACCTAATTAGGCTCAACGTTTGGATACCGAAATCGGTTTAAAATACAATAGCTGACTTTTAACTGTATATTCCTCCAGTAAATGACTTTTAATAAATGAGTTTATTTATAGGGATCGTCTAAAGCCAGGTAGTAATTTATATGTGTCACCTGATTTTTACTTTACAAATTTATTATTAATCAATTTAAAAATTACTTGGCTTTATATGACCTCTATTTATAGTAATTTCTCTATGAATTTTCATTATCTTGATCATACAGTTAATTGATTGTTTTTGATTATTTGACAGATCCACATTCTTTTTAGACACTCTAATTAAAAAAGTTGGTAAAGAAGTTGCGAATGAGTTCTTGATCCAATCCATTTCTTTACCCATATAGATGTTAGCTTTCATTTTTCAAAAAAAGTTATAGCAGTTTTGACTTCAGTTAAAATCAATAATTCATGTAATTATCTTCTATTCTACAGATTTTTTGGGGGGAATTTACAGATAAGGGCCCAAAAATGAAAGTAATTACAAATGAGGGCCCAAAATTAAAATAATTACAGACAGAGGCCCGATATTTGAAAATTATTATAAATAAGGGCCAAAATAATTATGCGCTTAAGAACCTTTTAAACCCCGTTTCGATTTGGAATATAATCATAGTCATTAGTAATAGTAATCAATTACGTAGTAATTCGAATATAAATTCAAATGCACAATAAAAATGTACATTCGTCAACCTATTGTTTGTGCTGTAAATGTATTCCATCAAGATTCTTGATATATTTCTTAAAAAACCCGCTTATACAAAAAATTACAGATCGGTATCGGTATGACTTTTACTAACATAAATGTTCATTCAGCCCTGGACAGTTATTTTGTCAAATTCTCTTCTCCTTATAAGTTCAAAACGAACAAACAAAATAAGCTGTTGGCTACGTATTTGTTTTACAAATAAAACCAGTTTATACCCTTTTACTATTTCAGTTAACAAGTGCAAAAATGGCTACACTCATATAGTAAGGCTGATTCCTCATGATCCAAATCTATGGAAGTGGTAAAGGTTATTGCGCCATTAGTTAAAAATATAGCGATAGCAGTACTTCAACCTCGTGATATTATAAATCGAGTTCGTTCTGAAATGGGGGCCGGGACATCATACCGGGTTGGTGAAAAATAACTGAACAGAGACCTATTTTATTATCTCCGTTAATATTGAACTTCTATAATTATTTATTATATCTACGTAATACTGATATAAACGTTAAGTGATAATCAATAGTTTAAAAAAGGTCACTGTTTAGTTACTTTTCACCAACCCGGTATTAGGGATGTTAAATTGCGAATCCAGTCCGGTCCGATCCTAGGATCTAAAAAGACGGTCCTGGATTCGGTCTTGAAAATACAATACATTTTATATGACTTAGATCCTGCATCAGATACTGAATTGAATTCATCAAATAAGTTAATCCAATCAAATTAATTTTGTATTGTTATAATAATTCAATTCAGAATCTAAGTCTTATAAAATGTATTGTGTTTTCATGTGATTTAAGGATCGAATCCCTACCAATCCTTGAAGGATCGGACCGGACCGGTCAGGATTCGATCCCAAAGGACCGATTAACATCCCTACCCGGTATAAAACTTTGTTTAAATCTAACGTAATAATTTTGAACCCATTTTTAGTTACAGTCAACCCTTTGTAAATGTACCCTTCTTGGGACTATATAAGCAAAAATTTTAAAAATATGCATTGTTGGCAATGGGTTAAATGGAGCCCAATGGAGCTGTGAATGGATCCAATGGAGCTCTGAATGAAGCCAACTAGCTTTTTGTGCTCCATTGCCGACCTAGTAAAAAGGGTGCGCATTTATGGAAGGCAATTTATTAAGTGTTCTATATGCTTGAGGCTAAAGTAACTGGACAGTGACCTTGTTTTAATCGCTGATATAAACTACGTATCGCTATTGATTATCACCTAATGCTTATACCAATATTACGTAGAAATAATAAATAATTTAAATAATTATAGAAATTCAATATTAACGGAGATAGTAAAAAAGGTCACTTTTCAGTTACTTTTCACCAACCCGGTATATGGCAATTTGGAGAAGGAAGGCTATTGGGCCATACAAAGTTAATTTTTCGTTTTGCATTACAGGATTTCAAAATCCAGTCAGTTAGTTGGATTTTTTTTTCTAAATAATGAACGATAACGGTAACTCTAAAGCACCTATTTAGTCACAAAATGAGGCAATTACTCATGATACCATTATGTTGCCCTTATTTGTAATAACTATGATCGTACCCAACAGTTATTTTGATGGTGATTGCATCATCATCAAATAACTTCGTTATTTGATAATGACGCAATCATCATCAAAATAACTCGAGTCATTCTCGTAACTACCTGGATAACACTGTTATTGAATGCTACGCAGCCAGATAATGGTGTATTTTTCAAATAATTCCCGTTATTGGCTGCTTCGCATCCAATAATTCTATATTTAGGTTTACCAACATTTCATTGACACATATTTCACTGACAACCATTTCTTTGACAATTTTTTCCTTGACAAACCCATTTCTTTGACAACTATTTTTTTGACAACCATTTATTTGACATAATAATTTTCTCTACAATTACTTTTCTGATATAAACTACTTCTCCAACAATGTTAAAAAAATGGTTGTCAGTAAAATGGTTGTCAAAGAAATGGTTTTGTCAGTGAAAAAATTGTCAAAGAAATGGTTGTTAGTGAAATATGTATCAGTGAAATGTTGGTAAACCCTATATTTATTTTCATTTTGGGCCTTTATTTATAATTATTTTCATTTTTGGGCCCTTATCTGTTTTCTTTTATTTTATTAATAATTTTTGGCCTTACAAAAAGTTTTGCACTTGTTAAAATGCAAGTACAGTAAAGAAGAAACAAAGAAGTGTTGATTTGTAAAAAGTAAAAAAAAAGTGAATGTATAAGTTGTACCTCAGATGCATTCTTGTATTGGATCTAATCCGACACATGTTAGCAGAGACAATGATTTTTTTTTTTTAATGTTTATAGAATGATCACATAGTGGGTGTTTTATTAATTAAAGTTTCGGTTGCACCATAATAATTATTACGGAGGGGGTTTACAGTAACATATCAATGAAGATACAATAAGCTATACATACAACTTTAGTCATTATCTATTTAAGGGTTCTGGCCAAGAGTTCCCTACTTATTGCTATGCCTAGAACCCGCTTGTGGGTTCTCTGTTTAAACTCTCTGATTTCAATATTAATTGCTTACCCAAACTTTAATATTTGTTAAAACCAACCTTCGGGCTACTTTACCTGTGCAGTAAAATTCTACCAAGAGGAGTGGTTCTTATATACGCCTACCTCTCTCAGATTTTTTCAGTAATTTACATACTATTACCTACTCATGTCCTTGTAAAGTTTACTCAAGCCCCAGTACCTGCTCTAGCAACCGTTAGAGATTTGTACTACCTCTCTACTCAGGTCTTGCCAAGTGAGTATCTGTCTTTCCAGTTCTTCGAGTTTATATGATCACAAGGACTTATCTGTATAACTTATATATTATACGAATACTTCATAATCTTCCAATCTTGTTGGTACAACCAAAGTTACAGGAATCTTGTTCCAACTGATCATCAAGACAGTAGCCATTGTACAAGCAGAATATTTGAAATATCATCACCAGTGGGTTTCAAACTCCCAACCTTTCAACATAACGCACTTGGAGGTGTGACAACTTGACCACCTCATTAAGTCACCACACCCTTGCAGGGAAGTAATTTGTATCGATCATATATATAAACTGATATTTTTAGGCCAAATCATAGGAAAATCGATATTTTTGCAATTTTAAATACGATGTAACAATATGCACTTGGGCAAAATTAAAAGTACATTTTAGCCATGCAATATAAATTTGGTAACAGTATTTAAGTCTAAAAAATTTCGCTAGCCAATTAGATTTCGAGATGAGGTGTAACGTGAAAAAGGTCAAGAACCAAAAATAATCTAAAAATCGTCTATAACTCAAAATTTGTTTAAATATAACTACTTTAGTGATCCAAATTATTAGTTGAAAAACCAACTAG